CCCATTCACTGCAGTGGACTTAGGCATGTGCTTAAGTGATGTCCTAAATAGGAATGATTTTCTGACTTAAGGTACGTCTACACAGTACCCTTCATTCGAAATAAGCTGTGCAATTTGCTCAACACAAATTGCGTAACTTATTTCAAGTGTATTTCAAAATAGCTGATTTTGTAATTTCAAAATAACTTGCTATTCCGAAATGCCCTCTACAAGGATTACTGGGGTGTCAGAATAAGCCTCCCATTATTTCAAAATCCATTTTGAAATAACAGGCTGTTTCAATAAACAAGGAATAGCTATTTTGGGATACTTCTGGTATTCCAAAATAGCTCTGCAGTGTAGACTTTTCCTTAGGGACCTAAGAAGGGACTTAAGTCTAAATTGCTGCCTCCCACCTACTCATTCCCTATTTCCAAGGACAGACTGGACACCCCATTCTCAGATTATCTAGAAAACAGAACATTTCTTTAAAAAGTAATTTCCACTCTTATTATTGTTTAAACTTCTTTCTGCCCCAAAATATGGAGAATTCAGTTAATCTTTAAAAACAAACAACTACTCCCCAAATTGTCTAGACAAGCTATTTCTGCAGGAGCTGGAGGTTAATATTTTTTTTAATGAAGTAACATTTGCAGCACTGTTAAAGGAGGCATCTTAGTAGTTTAAACATCAGGTTTGAAATTTCTGGTTTTCCTGTCAGGTGAGGTCCATACCCAGGTATAAAAGTTTCAGAGGGGGGTAGCCATGTTAGTTTGTGCCTGGAAAAAACTTAAAAAAACAACCAATATTCTTGTGGCACCTTAGAGACTAACAAAAAATGTAGATGGTATCATGAGCTTTTGTGACCATGTCCACAAAAGCTTATGATACCATCTACCTTTTTTTTGTTAATCTCTAAGGATATGTCTAAACATCAAAGTTATTTCGAAATAACAGCCATTATTTCGAAATAACTATCCTTGCATCTTCACAGCCAAACCGCTATTTTGAAATTAAATGGAAATAGTGGAGGGCTTATTTCAAAATTGGTAAACCTCATTCCACGAGGAATAATGCCAATTTCAAAATAGCTATTTCTAAATAAGTGCTGTGTAGACACTTATTTCGAAATAGGGGGCCTCCAGCCTTCCCAGGGTGCCCTGGTGGCCATTCCAGCCTCAGCCAAGAACACTCTTCTCCCTCCCCGCTCCTCAGAGCCCTTAAAGGGGTAGACTCTGGTCATAGTGCCTGTGCCAGCTCCAAGCCTGCCAGCCCTGAGCCAGCAGTCACTGCCCCTGACCCAGTGGCCCCAAAACATGAGCCAGCAAGCCACTGGCAGCCAGCCCTCCTCCACTCCCCAGGAGCAGTCTGCCAGCTCCCAGGAGCCTGCCACAGCCCAGAGAAGGAAGGCACCTTCCTGGTCCAGGGTGGAGATCATGGACCTTATTCAGGTTTGGGGGGCACATCCCCAACATCCATGATCTCCGCACTAGATGGAGGAACGTGGCCGTCTATGGCAAGATAGCTGCCAGCCTGGCCACCAAAGGCCAGAGGCAAACCCAGGAGCAGGTTTGCATGAAAATCAAGGTGGTCCAGTGAGACCTCCCCAATCCTGAGCCCTGAGCTTCCCCTCCCCCTTCTTTCCCTTGCTTCCCCCTTCCAGATTTTCCCCTTCCCTCTCCCATCGTCTCTTCTCCCCTCTCCCGCCTCCTTTCTCCAGTCTCACCAGAGTTTCATCCCCTCCCCCCCCCAGTTTTGTTAAATAAAGAGAGTTTGTATTCATGAAAATACGTGTATTTTATTTGACATCAGGAAGGGGGGTTAGGGAGGGGTAAGTGGAAGGACGTGAGGGAGGAATGAGGCACAAGCCCCCAGTGGGGCAGACCAGGGAGGCTCTTAGTGCTCCTCAGGGTGGAAGCTCTCCCACAGGGCCTCCTGGATACAGACAATCCCCCGATGACCCTCCCGGATGGCATCCTGCAGATGGTGTAGCCAGGCTCACAGCAACACATCCATGAGAAGCACCAGAGTGCCCAGGGGCAGTTCTGGCTCCATGTTGCAGAGTGCTGTGGTGTCCTAAGTGAGGGCAACCAGAGCACACAGAGATAAAATGCTTTGCTATCCCTCATCGAGTTAGGCAAGCAAGCAGGGAAAGCCTTTAAACACAGGCCTTAGATAGACTCAGGCAGCAGCCACACAAAGTAACTCCTGACCTGATGCCCTGCCAGACATGGTTCCAGCCAGCCTTAAATGCGAATCAGCATCCACTCAGTATGGATGCGCTATTTCGAAATGCATTTTGTGTGTAGATGCGTTATTTCAGAATAAGATACTTCGAAATAATGCTGTAGTGTAGACATACCCTAAAGTGCTGCAAGATTATATCCAGGTATAGTCAGCTATAGAGATACACTATGCTGTGGGTTGAATGTTTCAGAAGAGACTAGTACTGTGTTTGGACATTAAAGTTCTATAGAAATATGTCTGATAGCATTTTTGCTGGGATTAAATTTTCCTCTCTCATCAATTCGATAGAATTGTGAATATACCTCTTAACTGCTATGTATGTACACTAGATAGTTTCTAAGGTGCTTCAGGATCCACAGGGCAGAGAGAAACTATATGCATGTAAATTGTCATTGATAAATGCATAGCAAACACATTTCTAATAAACTGGCATGAGATGTTACTTGTAAAATCCACAGAGATGTATAAAAAAGTTTTAAATTACACATTATCAGAAATGTTTAACAAATGTATTTTTAACAATTACAGTAATTCTTCATTTAACACTATAGATATGTTTCAGAAAATTATCGTGTTAAGTGAAAATGTGTTATGCGGGGTCAATTTTCCCCATTGAAAATAATGGAAAAGGTGGGGATTGGGGGAGAAAGGGGACTGGGTTACAGCAGGGATGGAAGACGTTTGGCTCTGGGGAAGGAAAGGGGAGGAGAGGGAAGGGGGATTGGGTTGGGAGTATGCCCCTGTGACGGGTCTGCTGGGACCCGCACTGCGTCCGGCGAGGGGGGGGGCTGACGGGGAACGGCGTGGTGAGCGGCGAGCCCTCCACTGCTTTGCAGGGAGGTGGGGGAAGCCCCACGCAGCTGCCAGCAATGGTCCAGCTGGGGTAATCATGTTATTCCAGGGATGGTCGTGTAATTCAAAAAACGTTCCCTAAAAAAAAAATCATGCTATTGCAAAAATGTGTTAAGCGGGCACGTGTTAAATGAGAATTACTGTATATCAGAAAGCTTTAATATGACCACTATGTACAGAAGTACATATGATTATTTAGATCTGTCTCAACAACATATTATAGTAAATCTTACAATAATTTATTAGAGAAAAGCCATTTCTCTTAATCATTTAACTATTAATAATTTTCATGAATGTTAACTTAATGAGAAACCATACCAGCTGGGGTATTGGGCTTGATATGCTGTTCAAACACAAAAATGACAAATACCATTAATTAGAAAGGCATAAATATGACTTACAAGGGCATAAACGCAGCAAACAGGAGGGGATGACTTAACATAGGAGTTTCTGTACTACAGCAGTCCCAAGTCTAATCACACTGATATTTTGCCTCTAGCATTGACCTATTTATGCAAATGTGGAATTATTCAATGATGTATATTACAAACCAATCCTATATACTTTGCTTAATGTTTTTCAACAACCATAATGAGATTGTACATCTGGTCAATATGAGGAAAAATTATGATAGGTTCCTCACATGCCCCCCAAAATCCAGATTAATTAGCAGCCTAACTGTAAGATACATGTTTACTTAGATTTGAATTGAGAGAGCATTTCTGAAATGCAAATTTAGGGAGTATATGAGATTGTATATAAAAATATTGTAGGTAAAGTGTTTGACACTGGTGGTCGTATTTTTCTCTGTTCTAGTCCTTTAAATAAATTAACAAAATCAAGTATGGTTTTTGAAATGCAGTTTTTATTTCTTTGTTTTGTTTGTTTTAGTCAGAGCAATATACCCGGTATTTAGATGTTCTTCTGCAGCACTGGAAATGCAAACTTAAGAGCACTATGCTAATACTTGGGAATGGATAATAGCTGAACTTAACAAATATACAAACAGCAAAACTATCAAACTTGCCTAACTTATGATGGCCAAACCTTGACAGAATAAACCCAGTGAAGTAAATGGAAGTTTTGCCTTAGATTTCAAGAGTCCAGGATTTCAGTACTGGTTTGGAAAAGCATCCAAAAAATGATGGTTTCAAGCTTAATTGAAATTCTTTATGTTGGAAATCTCATGAGATCAGGATTTTTACTGCCAGACCTCTAGTACTTCCAGGTTTTGGATAGTGGTTAGTGGGTGGCATGCCATAGCTTGTCATCTGTATTTGTGATTAATGTATCTCACAAATAAAATTACTGGCAGTGTAAGTTAAATCACATGTACTTTGAGTTTTAGATTTTTTTTTATTTTAAAAAGGAACACTGTAAAGGAAATGTGATGTGTGTGGGAATTATTTGCCTCAGGGGCATCCCTACCAAATACTCTAATAAAAAAGGATGTATTCTGCAATATGCTGATGATTATTATTAACTTTGGATACCATAAGACTCCTTGTATGTAATGTATTCCAGTCCTGTCATATCCTTGTATATGAAAATGTTATCAATGATCTGCGGAGCCTGGTAATAATAATACTGCAACATTATAACAAATAGGTAGTACTGTTATTTGGGGGAATTTTTTACTATATCAAATGTATTTTATTGCTTACATTATAGTAGCAGATTGAAAACATCTGTTGTCTTGCCACTAGTCCGCCAGTAAGGCAAAGTCTCAGCTCGCTTTCCTTCAGGCCAGTATGCCTCAAGGCATGTGTATCAAGACTATAACCCAGCTGCTGAGTATTGATACAGGGCCAGACTTATACTCAGGAGTCTTTTAAATGGAAACAATACCGCCTTGCCAAGGATTAGAACAGTGATAAACTCCATTTGCTTTTTCTCTCTTCCCTACCTTCCTCTTCTTACAGCCCCATCCCCCATCACAACAATTAGGAAAGAGCGGACATCCCGAAATAGTGTCTCTCTCTCTTGGCAAGAACCTGAGCAGCCTAATGGAATCATCTTGGACTACGAGGTCAAGTACTATGAAAAGGTGGGAGGAAAGGATTGAAGGGGAGGTGTGTGCACTGAAATAATTTTTTCTTCCCTTCACCAAAGCTACTAGGATGCACCAGTTCACTCGTTCTCAGTGGCAACTAAATATTGACACCATTCAATATAATAACTGTAATGGATTATTAATAATCATTAATTAATAATACAGATATTATTATGAGAATCTGAAAAAGTTGGTAAGTAGTCCTGTGCATCAAATTCATATCAGAATGTTCCAAAATGAGAGTAAGGATCAAAACAGGTGAAATGTAAAGGAACCTTTTTCTTCTCAATTGCATTGCATTTACTAAAATATACTATTTTTCCACTAAACATGCACTAAAGTGTTGGTGTTCCAGTGCAGCATACACAATGTTTGCACAAAAGCGAATGAAGAGGGATTAGAGCTCTCTGTTTACTTTCCTGTTAACAATCACATCACTCTAGTAATGCACTGTAAAGACTGGGAGACCGATTGTGAATAAGTGAATGTTGATAATTTGTGAATAAATTAATACATGCAAAAGAAGGAAATAAAACCAAGGAAGTACACCACTACATATATTTTGTGTTATTTTGACAACAGCCAATACCTTGTATATTTTCTAAAAATAATTGTGTTATTTTGACAACAGCTAATACCTTGTATATTTTCTAAAAATAATGTCGTCTCAGGGCTTGTCCACGTATGCAATTTAATCTGGAGTAAAGAAGGCTGCGTTATTTTGGCAGTTAGTTTGACATAACGGTGAGCTGGAGGACTTCATACTCCAACTCCTGTAACCCTCATTTCACAAGCAATAAGGGAAGTCAGCAGAAGAGTGCTCTACCTTGGACTTCCTGCGATGTAGACAGCACAAAAAGCCGAAATAAGCTATTTTGACTTAAGCTACACAATTGACGTATTTCAAGTTGCATAGTTTATTTTGGCAACAGCCCTGCTGTGTAGATGAGTCCAGAGAGTGTAGGTTTAAATCTGAAAAACTCTTCCTAATTAACTCCATGCGTAGATGCTCTTATTCCAGAATAAGAGTACCTTATCATGAATTAGTTTAATGTAAGTGAATTAAATGAAGAGTTAATATATACAATCACTTAGCTCTTGGCAAGCAGTTTATAGAAGTGTTAAAAGTGAATTTTTATAATTTTTCTCCCACTGTTAACATTGTAGTATCCACACAGCTATGGGAGTAGTACAAAATAAAGCTGCAATTTCACAAAGCACTTAAGCATGTGCTTGACTTCAAGCATTTGAGTAGTCTCATTGCAGTCAATGGAAAGATGCATTTGCTTAACACAAAGCACAAATTCTTTGTTGAATTGAAAACCTTGAAAATCCTTACTCTCACAATTACTCATTCATGCAAATAGATCGTATGAGTCAATATAGCTACTCACTGTTTTTAAAAGATTGCTACTCTAGATCTTAAGGATGCCCTAATTTGATGTACAGATACATAGAACCTGGGGGGCATATATTGTCATCTTCTAAATCAGCAGATATCAATATATTTGTGAAGAAAATTTGCAACTTTTTTTCATACGGATAAACATATGTACATAGTGACTTGATTATAATAACTTGTGCAAATTCTTTTGAAAATGTACCCAGAAGGCATATATGGCAACTAGGTTATAATAGCAATTTCGCTAGATTCAGATAGCTGTGCCCCTCAAAAGTGTTTTTTTCCATTTGTGTAGCAGGTTAATTTTTAAAAAGCAAAGATAAAGACAAATAAATATGATTGTGATCTTGAGAGTAGAGACCAAGTGATATACAGTCAGTTTTAATCACGTTCAAATTCCAGTTCCATCATTTTTTGAGATAGGCCATGTATATGCTGTTAATTTTGTAAATGTTGACATGCCAGTGTGCAGGTTAGATTCTGGATGAAGAGGGAATATTATTGCATCTGTATATTGCTTTTGAAGAGATTTCAATTTTTTTGTTCCTTATGTGTGCTAGCCATAACAGTTGCATAAAAAATCCTTTTAACACAGTGTAAAGACTGGATATGAAAAAAGAACATACATTCTCACTAATGATGCCACTGTAAATGTTAAACTTAGCTGAAGTACCTTCAATAACACGTAGATTAAAACCACCCAATTTTAATTGCACGTGAAATACTAAGAACAGCAGAATTTTCTCCCTAATACAGATGGTATCTAGCATATCATGAGGAGATGCTTAAGCAGAATACACTTAGTGGGTCATGTTTTTAATTTGTCAACAAACTGAGTGTTTGATTAAAATGTCTGCCTGGAACAGACTTTCTTTTCTTTTTGTATATTCCTGAGGCTTCTGGTTAATAGAGTGCAGTATCTCTGAAGTTATGCTTTCTCCCCCATGGAAGATAAACTAAGGCTTGTTTATGGTGTTACACTGATTTGACTACTATTAACATAAAAATTGACACACAAAACATATGTCTTTCATTTACCATAGTTTACCATAAACTAGCATACTATGATATCCACCATACCACAGTTTAAAATGTTTATTTACTGAGTAGCATTGAGTAATATAGTGAATACATGTACTAAATATTAAGCCATGACCATGTGTTCTCTTTTCATGTGCCGGGATGCATAAGGAAAAGTTTGAATGCATAAAAATAACAAAATCAGATCAAACTGACTATCCATTCAAACTATATACACATATATTGTTTTTGACTATTTTGCCTATATTATTTAAATGTTTAATTAAAAGATGTGTTTTGTTCGTAGGAGCAGCATTTCTAGATAAAAAGAATTGCCAATTTATTTTCCATTATTAGTCTGACATCAAATTTACCACAATAGAGATGTAAATTGGACTAGATTTAAGACCCTAATTTTAGAAGGTAGGCCTACTTTTTGACTTGTGAGTAGTCTTACTGATGACAGTTAGGTCATTCACATGCTTAATATTTGGTACATGCTTCAGTATTTTTGTGAATTGAAGCTTCAGTCTCTAAGGTTATGTCTACATATCACATTATACCCAGGCTCAGACTTAGGTTTGAAACCGATTCCCCTCTGATCCACAGAAATCAATTTAACTCAGCTTCTAAGACCCTGCTAATAGAGATGGTGGATCATAGCCCATGTCCCGCTGTGACTCAGGTCCAAGCCCTGACATTTGCAGTGTGGATGCAGCTCAAGCTGCAGGTCTGAGTTAGGTCTGTGTAATGCAGTATGGACATTGATTGGTATAACTCTGAGTCCTTGGTCCAGCAAATGTAAAACCAGGTTTAAAATGTGGGCTTGGAAATGGCAAGACCACAAGCCTCGGTCCTACAACCTGGGTTTACAGAAAGTTGTAGACATACTCTAATGCTGTCCTAGTTATAGAAGTATCCGTGTGAGTAAAATAAGCATGCCTCGGTCCTGAGAATATGAGGGTAGTTTCCAAGTTCAGTATTGGTACTTTAGTACTCAGTTTAATACTTGATTGTATGAGTATTTACACAGTACCTTCCAAACTCAAGGTAATGCTCTGTGAAACTTCACAGTGCAATGCAAAGCTAGGTGAGTATGCCTCCTCTCAACATTCACATGAAACTCATTTCACCTGGGAAAACCAAGCAAAAATCATTGAACTCAGAAAGTTTTGCTTTGAGTTTTGAATGCTTCCAAGCAGTAAAGCAACTTTTAAAATAAACAAAAAAAAGTTCCCATGAACCTCTGTGAACAAAAACCAAGCGGTAAAGCAACTTTTGAAATAAAAAAAAAAAGTTCCCATGAACCTCTGTGAACAAAAGCAATTGAGTGCCCCACGGCTCCCCACATGTATGGCACCTGTCCAGTGCTTTTTCTGAGGTGGAAACCAGCTGCCATTTTTAGGTAGCCAAATGCTGGTTCAGCACAGCATAGGGTAAGTACTACAAAGAGTACAAAACAGAAAATGCTTAAATCATTGCACTATGTGGTTACAGGTGAGTCTGAGTCATTTTCTCAGCAAATTTAATTTTTTGTAAGGTATAAAATGTACCCAGATTTACTTACTTTTACAAACAAAACATGTTGTCAGAAAATAAATAATTAAAGTGCTGTTATAGAGATTGGTCTTTTCCATTTTTTCTGACAGAGTGCTTTGTGTGTATACTGCTAGCCATTATATATGTGTACAAGTACATATATGGAAAGATATGATAATTACGTACAATTTTTAGCAGAGAGAAACAAAGCAGCTACATCTTACCTCTCTGATTCTTACAGCCCAGATCCCACTCAGTCAAAGCCTCCACTGACATTCGAGTGCTTTGGCATGAGAGGGGACTGCATAAGCAGGACCATGTTTAACTGCCATATTGTTCTATTAACTTCTGTGTAAAACTAAGGTAAAGTTTTTGAGAAGTATTCTTATGGCTATAAAGGTAAAAAATGACTTGTAAAACATATGGCCGTAAAAGCTGAGCCAAACCTATAGGGCTTGCAAGGCACTAAAGGTTCTAAATGGGCTTAAATTAGCTTCTAATTTAGTTCAGTTGGAGATGCTAGGTTTTATGGGTTTCAGATAACATTTTCATTGTCATTTTCATGTATAGTTCAGGTTACAGGCAAAGCGATAGAAAAATAAAATATCTCATTAATAGAATGTATAGTAGATTAAAGAAGCCCTAATGATTTGAGATTCTTGATAATCTACAGGTCCATGGTGATCATGGCTTCACAAAACTTACATATTTCATAACTATTAGTATTGACCGAGCACTGCTACTTGTGTAATACTGTACTGTGTTGCTTTAATTGATTAGGGATATGTTGGGGTTTAATGTAGCAATGTTTTATCCCCAAAGCAGGAGCAAGAGACAAGTTATACTATTCTGAGAGCAAGAGGCACTAATGTTACCATCAGTGGCCTCAAACCTGATACCACCTACGTCTTCCAAATCCGAGCCCGGACAGCAGCTGGATACGGATCAAACAGCCGCAAGTTTGAGTTTGAAACCAGTCCAGATTGTATGTATTATTTTCCTGCCCACTGATTTGAATATCTAGCTTCTCTCCCTCTCCATTTCAGTTTAGCCAATGTGATTTGTAACTATTTATTATGTGTCTTTTTGGGAAATATTGCTATGTAATCTTATATTTTAGCATTACAATTGAAATATGGTGTAAGGGGTATATTGTAAATAGCACAGGCAATATTTCCTTGCATTCCTTGCCCTATCTTATTCCTGTTACCAGAATTAATAAGATCTTACACTCCGTGGCAGCTCCTGCTGAGGAAGGAAGTCTGATACAGTAACAGTTTCATAATGAAATAACATTCCAAGCTTGTTGCTTGACTCCACAAACTCCAAAAACTCTGCTCCAAGAGAATGAGGGTCACGTTTTTTCTAGTCAGTTTACTTGAGGGGGTGAACTTTTTTTCCCTAAAAATGATATATTTCAAATGTTAACCAAAAAAAGCTGATTAAAAAATCCAGCTGAAAATTTTGCAAAATAAAATTTCAGTCAGTTAATGGAATGAAAATGTTTTCAGAATGGTCACCCTTCCTGCCGTGTGCAGAGTACTTGTTCTAGGCCAATGCACTACGTGCATGGGAGCAAAGTAATGCATAGATCTTCTACTGATTTTGTGCACAGAAACAAATTATACCCACTGAGCATTAAACAAATATCCAGCATGGGATGTTCCAAGAGAAATTTAATTATTTTAAATGTAATAATAATCCAACATAATAAATTAACTCTTCTCTTGTGGATCTGTCTCCTGCACACTTTAGTTACATAACTATCCTGGCTGAAGTCATTGGTATAGTTAATGTAAGGACTACTGAAATAAGTAAACATTTGCAGGAATGAGCCCTTTATTTGTAGTTGGGACACTGGAGACATTAAGCATGTGTCTGAGTGCTCTGTAAAAATGAGGACTCTGTCCTCTGTGTTTTATACTTCTAAAAGACACTTGTTGGAGCCACCCATCCAAATGTTAGCTCTCTCACCACCTTGGTTCACTTTTAGTAATTAAAGCTGAGATTTTCTATACTAGAAGCTTCAGATGTTCGGTATCACAAAAAGCAAAATTGTTTATTTTGGTGCCCAAATAAGGATGTAGGTGCCTAACTTTTGGCATCCAAACCGGGTTTGAACATTTGAGCCAGGGCCTTCCCCACTATAGTATGCATAAAACATTTTTAGGGGAAAATTTCAAAAATCTAACTCACTAAATATAATCCTATCCAGTGTTCAGCTGTGATTAATTTGCCATACCTATGAATTTAGAGGTGTGTGTTGGGGGGGGGGGGATAAGATGGGGAATTCCAAAGGTAACATAACTCAAGATTATACAACAGATACTGTAGTGGGAATTTGTACTTATGGACTTGTAATAAAGATTGAGAGTGTGAGGTTTAAGAAACATTCTGTTCAGAGACTACAATGTCATAAAAATAAACAGAGAAATTTAGCAAGAAGCCAAATGGTACTTGCACTTGACATGTTTGAACGTTTGAAGTATGTGAGCTATTTTTTCACTGAGCTCTTATTCTGGGAAATAACTGAGCTCCTTGTTCTAAAAATCACTCGGTTTTAAATGGTTATTGTGGTGACCTTCAGCTTTTAAAATAACTAAGCAAGGAGTACCAAGAAAAAGTAATTGATGGTAGGAATAACAAAGGGGAGGGGGCACTTGTGTCTATTTTAGGTTTTTTTCAACATGCTTAAAATTGAAGATGCCACTGCAAGATAATCAGAAAGAAGCTGATAAATATCTTGGGAGAAATGGTGATGGGTCACAACCAGTGTTCCCTCTAAGCTGCTCAGCAGCAAAGCTTCACCAATTATTAATCAGCTCCACCCAGTCAGAGGCTCAGGGCTTCCTGGCCTGATTGACTGGGCAGGGCTGATTAATCACCTGTGAAGCTGTGGTGCCACACCACTCACAGGGAACACTGGTCACAACTATAACTATGTATTACCATAATAGCTGTACATTTAAATGGGTAAATAGGAAATTATCCCATAATCTGATCACAATCACAATGTTACTGAAGCCACATGAGTGTTGTTGTGCATCTCTAGTCTGTGGAACATGAGTTAGCTTGTGCCCATAATGCATAGAGACTGCTTTCCATATGGAAATTGGGCCATCATGGAGGAGCTCTTCCCCCATTGAACCTCATAGTGAGTTTTTTCCCTGAATTCATTAATGGATTCTTACCACCTTGGACCACTTTCTCTTCATTTCCCTCTGCCCAGCAGCCCACTAATTTGTTGCCCTAATTTTGGAGAGGCATCTTTCCCATCAGATTTCTTCCCAAATGTAAATATAGGTTAATAATCCCTTGCCTCACAAGGATATTATGAGGTTTAGCTCACTAAAGCCCAATTGAAAACCTCAACTACAGAATCTTCTAGAAGCAAATAATAATGGTAAGTATTGATTTGGACTTCTTCCCTTAAACATCATCTTTCCTCAGGAATGACAATCGCTATTAGCAGCATCCATCACAATAACAACAATACTTATCATCATTGATCAACAACCTTTGCAAACTTGAAAAGGCAGTAAAGGGAAATCTTCTCTTTTCTCTCCATATGTTTGCGTTTGTTGAAAAATTACTTAAAAATGCACCAGGAAGATGTTTTCAAAGTTCAGAACAAAGCAGTGGTTACCTAATTTGCCAGCTGTCATGGGGTTGTGTGCTGTGATGTGTTTAATGCCATTTTGTTTTATTTATTTGCGTAATTTTTTAACTTTCCAGCATTCTCCATCTCCAGCGAAAATAGCCAGGTTGTAATGATTGCCATTTCAGCTGCAGTAGCAATTATTCTCCTAACAGTCGTGGTGTATGTCCTGATTGGGAGGTTAGTTTGTCATCCATCTTAAACATTTACTTCTACTTCCATATTCTATCATCTGCCATGAGGACTTGATGAGCTCAATCAAATGCTGTCAAGCAGTAAAACAATTGGGACTTCCCCTTCCCCTTATGTCAGCCTACTAAGAGCACTGTTAGCAGGCTCATTATAGAGTATGCCACAATCATATAATAGTTGTTAAATGTATTTGTAGCATTTTTAGGCAATTGAAGAACTAAACTGTAGGGGTGAAAAATCAACAAATCCTCTTATCAGTCAATTGCCTTGAATTCCCTGCGAACATAGCTTGCTTCTGTAGGATACACAGAATGTAAATATAATTAAACTTTCAAACAGGAATTTAATTGTTTAAGGAAAACATTTTATTCTGTTTCCATATATATATATATATGTGTGTGTGTGTCTTCTTTTTTTTTTCTCTGCTGCCTATAGATTCTGTGGCTATAACAAATCTAAACATGGTGCTGATGAGAAGAGGCTGCATTTTGGTAATGGACATTGTAAGTTACTGAAGAGCCTTATAATTTCCTGTTGTATTGAGTGAATCCCTAAAATAACTGAAGTTTTTCAGATTAAATAGAAAGGAAACAAATACACTGAAATGCAATTGGGAAGAAAGGGTTTGGTTTTTTCCTATTGTGGAGAAGAGTATTCCCCACTAATTAATCTTTGTTTCAACTTCTTTCCTCCAGGGTCAGATTAGTAATGAATGAAATAGGTTGGCTGTGCTCAAATGATACATGTGATTAGTAAAACCACATCGACTCAGCTGCGCATTGAAATGCAAAGCATAGCTTCAACTTCGTTATGATCAACCATTGGTGACATGTAAATAGTTTTTTTCCTAAGGAAACAACAAAGATAGTGAGCTCTATCTTGACCAACAAAACAAGTGTGCTTGATAAAGATGATCTATTAATAAACTTCCATTGGAAATGGGTTTAATTTGTTTTCAGATTT